TGATGTTGGTGTAGAGGCGTACAATTTGGTCGAGTTTTTTTAAAAATTGTCCTGGTATATACAACTTCGTATTCAGTCGCTTTCACGAACATTCACGAACCGTAACCATGAAGTGTTGTTCCGATTTCATCGTTTCGTGTTTATCACTTTGTACAGTTCGCTGAGATGACGGTTAACTTGTCAAAATGTTAAATAAGATTTTTTAAATAGTACTTTCTAGCAAATATAATACGTATATAAGTTAAGATTATTTATTATAAATTATTGTGCTAGTGTGTATTCGTGTTTAACTTGTAAGTGTTTGTGCTACCATAATTTCGGAAATGGCACTCCCGCTTAGGAAAACATTTTCAAGGTTGCGGCTAAATTTTGGTGGAATATGCCTAATTTTGTATTTCATAGGACAGGTAAGCTATAAAATTTAGAATAATGTGAGGTACATGTATGAAATAATTTCTCACATATCTACATGTGACGTCTATAATTTTCTCCTTTCAATTCTGTCAAGTGTCCTGATCTAATCTAATAAATAATTAAAAATTACACCTGTTTTAAAGTAGGCCCGTTTATTTGGTTATTTTATTACATGTGGGTTAACATTTTCTTATATATTATGGCACAAAATATAGATGTACAAATGTGTTGATAGAGAAAGTTGTATGTAATTACTCTTGCCTGAAAGTACCCATGTACACCTTTAATAAATAATTGCATGTATTATAGAGTATACAGTAAGTGTATTTTCTATATAATAGTCAGTAATTGTTAATTACAGTTTTGCGGTATATATGTCTCATTACAATTAACAAATCACAAAAGTAAAGACATGAGTCATTTCTAGTGGTAATAGATATAGATATCACAGCTCGCAGGTACAGGAGTACAGTCCTAGGTAGAAAATGATGTTTGGAATTTGTAATTGTAAGATCATTCTAATAAACTTATTAATGGCTTAAAAGTAAACTTTAATAGGCAAATCAGTTATAATGCGGGTACATTGTTAGGTACCCGTATGAATGTCTTAATCTTAATTTTTATTCTTATTATGAAATGGTTTACAATAACAACAATTTCATGTGTTAAATAAACTGTTATATCTAAGTACTGATTTTATTGAAAAAAGGAAAATTAGTACAAAAACCTTAAGCCATCCAATTTGTGTATTTTCGTTTGTGCAACATACAAAAAAAATATATAATTTCCATGTTCGGTAAATTTTTTTGTCCTGCCTGTAGTAACCACAGTAACTAAAAAATAAAAAAGCGTTGCACTGCTGAATAAAATTAAAATGAAACAGCTTGTGTATGCGTGTCGTAACATAACCAGAATATTATAAAATTTATGAGTTAAAATAAAAATTTTAAAATACCTAACTTGAAATAAGATGTAATTTAAAACATTTCGTATTTTCGTAGATTAAATAAAATTTCTTATAGAATGGTTAATTTAGTCTTCATAAATTAATTACTGTGCTACAGTGCTCTCTTATTCGTTATTTCTGCGATAGATCTAGTATTAGTGTTCTCAAGAACTATAATAATCATGTAAGATTCGTTTGCAATATAACATGCAATGTATAACAATTACCCAGTTTATGCATGTGTTTAATGTTTTTGTTGAATGTTCTCGAAAATTGTGTCTTTACTTAGGGCTAGGCTAGGATGGATGAAAAATGTTTTAATAAATTGTTTCGGCCAAGAAGCCGTTATGTATATGGCCAAAAAAGTAGGCTCATTGCAGCCAAATTGTAAGTTAAATCGAAAAATTTTTCAAACAATACTTGCTCCCTATTTTAATGCAAGATCGTCTGTATTATCTACATTTGATTAACTATACAAACTGTTAGAAAATAAGGAAAAGAAAGTTTCATTTAAATGGCAGCCATCTGAAATATTGATCCAATGGAAAATAGTTACCGAAAAAAGTTGTTCCATTCAAGTAATTCGACTAATAACCCCATATTTTGGCATTCTGAACAACTTTTTTCAATTGGAGCCATATTTCATTTAGTTGCTATTTAAAGGAAGCTTTATTTTTTCTATTTTTGAACACTGTATAGGAAATCAAATTTGGATTATACAATTGATCTTGTATTAAAATAGAGAACAAGTTTTATTTGAAAAATTTAAACTTACAGTTTGGCCGTAATGAACATATTGCGTACTTTTTGAGCCACCCTGTATGTAAGCCAATACAATATTTCTTCTCATGATAGTAGCTTTTCAGTTGAAACCATTGTGGAATTTCTTAAATATAGGTACCTATTTGTAGTAGCTTTTTTTTATTTTTGAGCTTTTAGAATATTGTGGTACATTGGTTTAAATATGCAGATAAACTGGTCTATATAAAGTATAATACTTTTCATCAAAATATTCTCCATTTCTTCTCCTTAGTTTAGATATTATTAAGCAAAGAATCTAGGCAGTTAAGGGAAGGGTTGGAAAGTTCTTTGGAGCCTATGCTTTTCTAACTAAAGAACCTATTTTCATAAAGCCCCGCAAATAAAAGGCGAAACGTTGATGTTGGTTCTTGATCTTGACACAAATAAAACCTTCCAACTCTGAAGTGCCTAAATTCTTTGCTTAGTCATAATTCAAAATAGTCTTTACAGTATTTTTCTTTAAGAATAAAAAGATATGTTTTTTATTACATTTTATTTTAAGATTGGTTTGTCTCCCGAAACAGTATGTTTTTCGTCTTTTCCAATGTAAGTGTAAAAGAGGCATTAAGTGTTACACGCGAAAAAAACATGATAAACACGCTGTGCGAAAATAATGTTGAATAATTGCCAAATTCAATTAGGCATTATGGCGTTTATTTTAAGTAGCAACGCCTTAAATAAATATGTGTACTGTTAGTATAGGTAGGTTGTTTACTTGTTCTTGGAAAAGAAACATTTCATCTGACAATAAATACTGTAAAGATGCAGAAATGCGTTTTTACTTTTGTAACTTCAAAATCACTGACTTTTTATATCATGTGTATCAGTGTATAGGTACAATTCCTATTTGATAGGTGTATAAAAATTGATTAGGTATCTTCTACTTCGGTGACGAAAATTGTTGTTTTGCCATTTTCTCTTTATTATTCATTAATTTAAATTTTACTGGTAAAAATATCTTTCCCATGTACCTGTACATCAGTTAATCGGTCATGGACAACTTCTTTAAAATAAAAATATGTTTTTAAAACACCAAGTTGTTCCACTTAATACTGATAAATATAAATGTGTATATACGTTAATTGGAAAATCGTTTTCGTTTCGTTTCGTTTTCCCTGTAAATACGATAAATTAATTTTCGTTTATTGTAAATTTTAAAAATTTCGTTTGGAAAATGAATATCCACTTGATATACATTCTTATCGTAAATGAACTGGTAATTTTCTCATATAATATAAATAATCTAAAAAGTGTGTTTTTTTAAACGTCACGGTTTATAGAAATTATATAATTTTGTGTTTTTCGTAGCATTAAAAGTGCTAGTTAGTTACGAAAACAATTAAAAATGCTTAGGTATGTATGTAAAAATGATGTTTTTTTACCTACCTAAAGTTTACAAGGTTACTAGTGCTGTTTTTTTTGTATTAAACCAGAAAATGAACAATTAAACAATTACTCTACTTAACTAAAGGAAAACAGTGATATGTAAAATGCTTTTTTGTTTAATGTTAATTTTTGATAAAAGTAGTACCTACTAATAATACCTTTGAATTGCACTTATTACCTACAAACAGAACAATTAAGCAGTATTATTGGAAAAATTGCATTTTCATTTCTAAAATACCTACATGTTGATTCTAAGAACAAAGTTCATGAAGGTTTATGCTGTGAATGACAAAACAGATCGTCTTGTATCACAACACAAATATTTTTCATCTTAAACAATATAAAGCGCAGATCAAGTTCAAGTAGGTACCGGTAATTCTCCAAACATGGCCACATTTGTATGATTCATATTTTGTTTTCCACTAGTGAAAAGTAATAAACGTCACCATAACATACCCATGTATTCATATACAAGCACATGACGCATTTTTGATAGATAGAAAGAGCATAATTTTTGGTTTCTTCTTTGTGTGTTTATTGGTAGCAAAAATATCATAAAATCTTTGGGAATTTAATTTTGAAAAGGAATTCATTTTTTGCTCCCTTACGTGTTGAAATTTACAACTACCTTTTAGTGCATGCGATTGGAATGTACGTTGTTATTAAACCCCCGTTTCACCATTTAAAAGGTGATATTTTGAAAACTCATTTTATAGTGGATAATACTGCATATGACTCAACAGCTTGATCGATACATCAAACTTTGAACGCTCTTTTTACTTCTTTAGGGGTTGAATTTTGGAAAATCCTTTGTCAGTGCTCGTTCGCATAATAATGTAAAGAACGTCTTTGCAATATTTCAAGTCTAAATCCAGGAACTTGGGCTGTACGTTGATATGTATATCAGTCAGTCAGTTTATGTATATGTGGATAGATAGACGACTGAACGTCATAAAAAGCGGAATCATATTAATATATTTTAACTGTTCAATGCTATTGGAGCAGAATCGCCTGATTGCTAACATTCATTTTATTATGATGATTGTAAATTTCTATCTAATGTTGTTCATTATCTGTACTGTAAAGATAAGACACTATCATAAAGTTGACAATCCTACACTTATTTTATTGCCATACGTTAAAATTTTTTATAACCATTGAAAATTGTCTTTTTAGTTCATCTTTTACTGGAAGAAAAAATTCCATATCAATAAGAATTGTACAAACGCATTATTATTTTGGTTTTTGTAAAGTTTTACGTTAATCGCTTTTCTAATTTTAATGTGCAAATTAGAAGAAGAAAAAGTGAAATTACGTAACGCAAAAGTTATCAGTTTTTGGTTCCCCCTTCTATGTAACAGGACAATAACACCAGGCCTGACCCCTTTCTCTCCGTAGTGCTTTAGGCTTGAATTTAGAAACGAAAATTTTTTTTAAATTTCAATAGTTCGCGTATAAATAAACAATTACAATCTCTAGTTAACATTAAATAACCCGTTAAAAATAATTTTGTATATGATGGTAAAGACATTTTTCTTAACTGGAATTTTCTTTTTAACTGCAACATAGTTGAAACACCTTGTATAACAATTATTCAGAAGTATTAAAATGTAGTTATTATTAGTAATAGAGGCAAGTGGAAAAAAAATATAATTTCGTGGAATTGGTAAGTGCAATGTCAATTTTTGTTGTTTCTGTTGTGTGCGTTTGTCAAGAAGCAAATAGCGTGCAGCTATCCATAAATGAATATTTTAATATTCGCATCACGATCAGTGTCAAGGTTTTTTTTTATTGCACTGTCATTTTATTGTCTATCTGATCCATAAGCAAAGTAAAACGTTTGTGTATACATATCGTGCA